GGCTTTACAGCATATAAAACCCCGATGTAAAGCAATAAAACTTGTAAAATCAAATAAATTAATATAGTAAAATCACCCCCCACCTCCCCCACCCCAGCGACAGCAGATCGCCTGAGCCATTTAATGGGCTCCATCCCGCTCTGGGTTCCCCAGGCCCGCTGGCAGAACCAGGTCTTCAACACCTTCCTGAAGAGAGTCAGAGAGGAGGCCATTTTAATCTCTGGGGGAATGATGTTCCAGAGGGAGGGAGCCACCACAGGGAAGGCCCTTCTTCTGGGTCCCACCAGGTGTATCTCCCTCAAGGATGGGAGCTGAAACGTTCCCTGCCTCCCCACTCTAATGGGTTGGGTAGATGTGACCGGCAAGAGACGGTCCCTCAGATAGCCTGGTTCTTACTGGATAAATTGAAAAAATAATCCTTGACAACCTAAAGAAAATGTGGGATACATTTCTCAATAATTGGTCCTTCAAGCACCACAGAATGCTACTTCACATCAGACTCATCCATAAGACCTGTAGAGAGGAATGGCTGAAGTTCTCATTGTACAACAGTCTTGGTCTTCCTTCCTTCCTTCCTTCCGGTTCAGCTCCTTCTCTATTTTTTTGTTCCTTCTCTATTTTTTTTTTCCACGGTGTGGAATTGATTGATTGCAAGTGGTATCCGACCCTGGTGCCACCCATGTTCTTTGTTACTCTAGGAACTCACCAACTCCAACCCTTCCTGGAGATAACAAGAAAGAATTGACATCTAAAGGTTTACCTTGGTGGTTCGTATTTGTCGGCTGGTTCCTGGTGGTCCTGACCAGTGGAGTCTCTGGTTTTTTCACCATGCTGTATGGACTGCATTATGGCAAGGATAATTCCATCAAGTGGCTGATTTCCATGGCCATCTCTTTCTTTGAGAGCCTCTTCATCACCCAGCCATTAAAGGTATCTTTTTTGTTATGTCTCCTCTATGAAGTCTCCAACCCTAGTTAGGAAAATGTAGTTTGATTTGAAAGTTGCCTTCAAAGTGTTTTATTGCCACTAAGCTTTCCCTAATCTTGCTTGGCTTCCAAAGATGTGTTTTGAAGTTCGGAACAGGTGGTCATTCAACAAAATGCTGACAAGCACAGGGGAAAGGTGCAAGAAGGTGTGTTTCGATTGGCTATGAAGTGGATAGACCAAAAATGTCATGTTTCTCTATGGAAGACAGAACCTAAACATTTTTGATATAATCCACAATATGAGAAGAAGACAATTGCGATATGTACACAAGGTTGTACTATATGGTTGTCTTCAGGCATCATGCTTGACCTCATGTAACAAAGACATAGCAAATGCATTCTTATAACATGCCAAGCCTGGTTAGTTTCAACTTTGATATTTTTTTTGTGAGTTAGTACATTCTGGACATCCTGACAATTTGATTAATTTATTACTCATTGTGCTGGACAAAACAAGAAAAGTGGATTAATTCAGTAACTACAGTAGACTAACTTTCTGTCTTCACTTGGAAAACAAAATGGATGTTATATTTTTTAAAAATAATTTTCAAAAGGGACTGTAGGATATCAAAAGGTAAGTCTGTGGACGTGGGCACAAACATCTCAGTCAAAGTTGACTATGTACTGTTCTTTTCTAGGTTCTTGGGTTTGCTGCTTTCTTTGCTCTGGTTCTGAAAAAGGTAGAAGAGGAAGATGAGGAGAACGCATCTATTAACGGCCCTTTGTCGGTCACAGGTAATCTATTTAACTCATTGAGACCTGGAGCACAGTATCTGTGTCTTTCCAGGTTGAGCTGAACATACTGTAGCAGGCCCTGCTGAGGGATTACTAGTTTAGTAATATATGGGGAGGTAGTATATACCTGAACAAAAAAGGCAAAAAATAAAAGCAATTGATAAAAAAAGATGCCAGTAATTAAACCAGAGAATAAAAATGTCTGCTTCACAAAGGAGAAGTTTGCTAGAACAAAAAAATATCTCAAATGACTAAAGAAAAACAGCATGGAAGATCCTGGGATATGCTATTGGGATAAGTTGCCTCGTAATCTGAATATGATCAACAAAAGGTCTTCCTTGTTCTATCCAACTATATGGTATTTCCATCAAAAGTGGAACACAGAAAATAGTCTATCATTCAGGTTTTTAGTAGTGGCCACTACTACAAGTATAATCTCTGAGCTTTCCTGCATCTAAGCCATGGACAGACAATAAGATTATGTTTCTTATATTTTGCTATTTGTCATACTTTCTGGTGCTCATGGGAACTAAACTCCAAAACATCTGGAGGATAAACAGGTGGCTTCCCCTAAATTGTGTTGCTGTGGTTTTAGAAGTAATTCTTGATGTTTTGAATTATGCCCGCAAGCAGTAGTGGTAAGCGGTTGGGTGGAAAGGATGATTCCATCAGTTTTAGCTTCTGTCATCTCGTTTTTCTAAATTTGTCAAATTTGGTTCCTTCGTTACTCATTCTGCCATTTACAGATTTGGGCTATCACACTGAGACAACGGAAATCGATTTTTTTTAAATGCACAGAAATATTATAAATTCTTGTGTATGTTTCTCCAAATATTGTACACATCACTTCCATTTGGATTTTTGTAGCTGTACAGTTTTCAACCATTTCTTACCAGAATAAATACTTGCACATGAAATGCATGAATATACACATCTTTGTGCAGACTTTCCCCATGTCCATATTTTGGGGTTAGCGCAAACTTTCACAGAGTGCATGTGAAAAGATAACTGAGTTTGAATAGAAGATCAGTTTACAGCTAGATGAATATAGAATAACTGAGTTGGAAGGGACCTTGGAGGTCTTCTAGTCCAACCCCCTGCCTAGGCAGGAAACCTTACACCACTTCAGACAAATAGTTATCCAATCTCTTATTTAAAAACTTCCAGTGTTGAAGCATTCACGACTTCTGGAGGCAAATTTTTCCATTGATTAATTGTTCTAACAGTCAAGAAATTTCTCCTTAGTTCTAAGTTGCTTTTCTCTTTGTTCAGCTTCTACCCACTGCTTCTTGTCCTGCCCTCAGATCCTTTGGAGAATAGCTTGACCTGGCTCTTCTTTGTGGCACCACCTGAGATACTGGAACACTGCTATCATGTCACCCTGAAAACATAATAAAAGTCTCTTTCAACCTTAGTACCACAATAATTATTCTAAGAGTGAGGATAAGATTATTCCTTGGGTGAGCACATCCTAAAAATATGATTCCGGAAAGTCTATTTTTCCATGAGAAGTTGGTTTAAAAAAAACAAAACACTTTGGTTTTGTTAGAGAATGAGTACATTTCCAACTATTTTGGACATCTGCCAGTTCTCCTAGTGTCTTTGAAGAGCAAGTACTGCACCATTTATGCGTCTTTTCTTCCTGATTATCTATTTTTATCTCCTCTTTAAGTTGAATGTTTTCTCTCTTCTTATTCCTTTCGATAGCTATGATGAGCACAGGATCATTTGTTTTGCTTGGTATCTATTTTCTTCTTTCGTTTTTTTGGTCTGTAATCTGAGTGTTAGGTAAGTCTCATTATTATGCTTATCTAAACATTGAGCTTTTCTGTTTGAGCTTTGAACTCTCTTCTGAACGTGTATTTTAATATTGCTTTCCTTTTCAATAAGAGCATAAAACAAGTTGCATGCAAACTGAATCCAGCATCAAATAAGGGCATCAAAGGAAAGTCTTGGCTTCAAATAGGCAGTCGAGAAGAAGAATAAAAATCGGTGGTTGATTAATAGTGTTCCAAATATTAGGTATCCAGGTCAATAACGTGATAATTCAAAAGAATATCTTATACACTTTGAAGATAAACCCTGCTGCATTAAATAGAAATCATTCCATTGCATGTACTGTATATTTAAGAATAACCTACATATTTACCTGGAAATAGTTCCGTTCAGTTTAGTAACTGAAAGGAATTCGGTCTCATCTATGCATTTATAGTTTTGATATACTTTTTGATAAGTTTTGATATGCCACAAAGAAGAGAGGGTCAACTTATTTTCCAAAGCACCAGAAGGCAGAATAAGAAACAATGGATGGAAACTATTCCCAAGGAGAGAAGCGACCTGGAATTAGGGACACATTTCCTAAGAGTGAGGACAATTAACCAGCGGAACAACTTGCCTCCAGGAATCATGGGTGCTCCATCACTGGAGGTTTTTAAGAAGAGACTGGACAGTCACTTGTCTGAAATAATTGTAAATAATCACTTGTCTGTTTCAGCAGGGAGTTGGACTTGAGCGGGGAGACGAACTTCCATTCTATTCAATGCTATTAAGTGAGATTGCAAAGTTTGGCCCTAAAGAATCGTGTGATTGGATGTCTCTTGGTGTCTACATATGCTGTTACATATAGGGCTTCTAAAAATAAACTTCACGGTTCCAACTAGTGCATTTTATAACAGTTAATAAGTCTGCTTGGGTGTTTTTGTGGGGGCAGGTGATCTAACTCCTATCTTTGGGGTGAGCAGAGATAGTGGAAATAACATCTACCAGCCTCCTCCCGCTACCGACATTGAGAAAATGAAGAGGGACCATATCAAGGAGCAGAAAGCCTTTGCCCTGATCCGGGAAATATTGGGTATGTTTTAGGCCTGTACTCTGAAAAACTGTTGAAGGAAAGGACGCTTCGGATTAAAGCCTGGCTTTTGTAAGGCTAGCAAGCCTTTGGCCTCTGGTATGTCATCCGCGTCATTTCCCATTTATTTTGAAAATTCGCACCAGGAGCTGTGATTCTTTTCGCTGTCGAACTGTCGGGCACAAGAAATCAGGCACCCAGGTTATTCAAATGAGTGCAAGTTTAATCCATGCTAGCTCTACAAGAATCTGAACGACTGACGGTCAGGTGAAATTGGTGGTAGATAAGAGTCAAAGGAACTCAAAGAGGGCCGGACTTAAATCTATTGTGAGCGTGAAGGGACTCCAAACTGATGACATGCATGACTCCTCCCCTAGGGGCTCAAGCTGCCCACCTCCTGAACTATCTTTGACATCTGGTTGACCAAGTGTTTGGGGTGTGGGAAGGTGCATGAAAGATTAGGAAGTAAGATTGGTCAGGATCCCTGATTTGAATGCGTTAGCAAGCAACAGAATCAACCTGCACCATGATAAAAATCATGCAACGGTTCTCCCAGCATCAGTCTTGGACTCGGGAATATAATTTGTTTTCTATGTTTCTATGCATCTTTTCTTCAGCCTACCTGGGATTCTTATGGATGTTGCTCCTGGTAGCCTACGGACAGCGTGATCCAAACTCCTATTATCTCAACAAACATATTGAGAACAGTTTCACAGAAGGATTTGAAGAGGTTTTAAGTTATCAGGACTTCTTCAAGTGGGCTAGAACCATCTTAATCAGCAACTTATACGGGCCCTATGAAGGTACGGTGATATAGGGGCCTATGGCAGCTGTCTCAAACCAAACTGAATGCAGTATTATTCTCACAGAGTTCTTTGTTAAGAAAATATATTGAGATGAATGGGCCGGGGTTACAAAACTTCTAATAACTGAATTATTTCTTCGTTTGTTCATTTATATCCTACCTGTATTATTTTTACAAAAAAAATCAAAGCAGCAAACATATCCACATCTTCCTCTTCCTATTTTCTCCACAACAGCAACCCTGTGAAATGAAGAGTGATTGGGCCAAAGTCACCCAGCCGGCTTTTATACCTAAGGCAGGACTAGAACTCACCATCACCCAATTCCTAGCCTGATGCCTTAACCACAGCACCAACCTTTACTCTAATGTACCTTTAAATGGATTTTTCTCTCTAACTGCCATCATAATATACAGCAAGGAGGCTGGAGGCAGTAAGGGTGTCTTGAATTATTTTGCAGATACTTTTTGTTGGTAGGGTAACTTGGTGTTTATGCTACAGTGTTTAGCATAAAAAGGTCACCAAACTTTTGGGGTGCTGAGCATTATCATTCAATAATGGGGAAAGGAAGGAAAGAAGGGGAGAAGGAAGGAAGGAGCCAAAATACATTTAAATGGCCAAAATGCAATTCAAACTCTAATAACTGAGTTCAGTTAATTGTTGTCATGCAACCTAAGCCTTGTGAGATCATCAGACAGATCTCAGAAGATTTTGGGGATTTCAAAATACATAGACGCATACATGGATACCAGAGGTGGTATTTAGCAGGTTCTGACCAGTTCTGCAGAAATTTTGAAATTTTTTTTACCGGACAACCGGCAAATACCACCTCTGACTGGCCCCACCCCCATCTATTCCCTGTCTCCTGAGTCCCAGCTGATTGGCTGGGTCTTCTTTGGCTGCCCTGCACAGAAGAACGGAGCTGGAAAGCTGGTTAGTGGAGTGGAGAGGGAATGGAGATTTTGCAGTATCCTTTCCCTGTCATGCCTACCAACCCATGTCCACCAAGCCAAGCCAAGCCCACCAAGCCACGCCCACAGAACTGGTAGTAAAAAAAATTGAATCCCACCACTGATGGATACACAGACACACACCATATTATCTCCACGTACAACTGGAGGAATCATGAACCATGTTTTCAGTCCTTGGTTTGAAGCTGAAGCAACTGAAAAGAGAGAAAATTACTTTGAAGCTCTGCAAATGCGTACGGGTTGAACGGCATATTCAAACCCTCCTTCCTTCTCAAATCCTCCCCAGGTTTCATCACAGATGGCAACTCCAAACTGGTGGGGAGTGCTCGGATTCGGCAAGTGAGAGTCAAGGGCAATTCCTGCCCCATTGATCCAAGTTTAAATAGGACAGTCAGAGAGTGCCGCGCCGCCTATTCCTTTGACACAGAGGATATGGGAGATTATGGCGTCAACTGGAATGGCTCTTTCTTGGACAACTCTTCAGAGTTCTATTCAGCTTGGCAATATCAGAGCCAGGCAAGGCTGAGAGGACACCCCATCTGGGGCAAACTGGCTGTTTACAGAGGGGGAGGCTATCTTGTTCACCTGGGGATGGATTCCACCAATGCCTCCAGGTAACTTCTGGCTGCTACATGGGTTGGGTTGGCTCTGTGGTTCTTAGGGCAAAGCAGCAATCTGGATTTGAAGGGAAAAGAATGAAGTGGCAGTGAATGTAAATTTAGGGTTCTTTCCTGCTGCCTCTTTGTGGAGGAAAATAGAATAGAATAAGTTGGAAGGGACCTTGGAGGTCTTCTAGCCCCCTGGTTGGGCAGGAGACCCTATTATTGGGGTAAGGGTTTGGCTGTGCCTTAGATTGGGCGTGGCCAATTCTTGCCCCAACTGCTCAAGTCTTAACAAGAGTAAGTTCTCAATGTCATAGGAGCAACTAATTGTTCATCCATTGATTTATACCACCAGAATTCTCCAATACTTGTTCGATAACACCTGGCTGGATAGCTTTACGAGAGCTTTGTTTGTCGAGTTCACCGTCTACAATGCAAATGTGAACCTGTTCTGCATCGTGAGCCTGATGTTTGAAACCAACGCCTTAGGTAAGAGCTGGAGATGTTAGACCGGAATCTATCTATGATAATTTAGGAGAGCTCCTGGGTGCCTATTATGGCCAGATTGCAACACATACAAACAAATTGATGGAGCTTCACATCGTCTTGTGTTCTGTCTTTAAATTGCTGGCTGAATATAAAGACAGTCAGGCAAACTCTACAAAGGCTTCCATACAAAGTTTCTTTATTGGATCACAAGGCATCCTCAAGGTATAACTCACAGTTATGTTGAGATTCATCTAATGTCCAAATCTTTGCCTAGCTGACTTCGTAGTGTGAAAATACAGTTATCTTCATCCCATAACGATGGAGCAAAGCAGCACGATGCTGCTGGGGTCCAAGCAAGAATAATGGAAACTCCCCCAACCCAACCAAGGGTCAATTCAGTGACCAATCAGGATTACAGATGTGGCCACTTGACATGAACTACATTTCCCAAGATACATTAATTACATTTCCCATGAGGCATTCCCTTAAGGGGACAGCTCCCAATTCCCAATTAACTAAATACTGTCTGGACAGCGCATCTTGACTTTTTGGACTGTCCCCTGAAGACATTCCTGATTACGCCATTGGAAAGGGGATGAGTAGAATCTGCTGCCTTCTTATCCTCTCCCTACTTGGGGGAAGGCTTAAGGAAAATAAGTGCATTATAGGTGGACAGGGGGAAGGGCAAGAGGCTCAGAAGAGACCCTCCCTAGTTTCTCAGGGGGTTAAAGAGATGGGTGGGTGGGTGGAGAGAATTGTACTTTCAGATGTGCAAAATTGATGGCGGCCTTGTGGGATGTACGAGATAGGAATCACAACCAGATGAGCTAATTCTACTTCATTGTAAAGCTAGATTGACAGAATCTTGCAAGATGGAAAGTATAATTTTCTCCCCCATCTCCTTTATAGACCAAGAAATTAGGAGGGTCTCTTCTAGATTGGGTTAGTTTTTCACCTGACCTTTCCCTTAGTAGTATCCCTTGTCCACTCTCCCAAGTTCTGTCCCTTTTTCCATTACTGATGTCTTACTTCCTTCAAGGGATTTCGTTGGATTTTGAGGCTAGGTCTATGCAACGCTGTGGATTCTTTCTCCAAAGCATGCACAATGCTAATGCAACCTATGCTCCTTTTTCTTCTCCTCGTGTGATGCAAAGAGCTTCCTGGCAGTTGTCCGTGATACCAGTAAAGGAGAATATTTGTAGCTGAGGGTTGAAATGAGAGGGCTTTGGTGCTCTCTTGATTGTTCTTGAAAACAACGAAGCTCAGAGAGCACCGAGAACCAAGGACCCCTGATTGTCCATGCTTTTAGTCCAGCAAATATAGAATAGAATAGAATAGAATAGAATAGAATAATAGAGCTAGAAGGGACCTTGGAGGTCTTCTAGTCCAACCCCCTGCCTAGGCAGAAAACCCTACACCACTTCGGACAAATAGTTATCCAATCTCTTATTTAAAAACTTCCAGTGTTGAAGCATCCACGACTTCTGGAGGCAAATTGTTCCACTGATTAATTGTTCTAACAGTCAAGAAATTTCTCCTTAGTTCTAGGTTGCTTCCATCCCTGATTAGTTTCCACCCATTGCTTCTTGTCCTTCTCAAGATGAAACATGCATATAAGTGTCATTATGCATTGGTCTATGTAGGTTTATCTGTCCTGTTGATTTAATTACACTTATACTATGCATGACTTGAGCTGCCCTGCTCTAGAACTATTGTCTGCAGGTGGCATAACACACAAATCCACTGAAATAAGACGGCAGTTGACTACAATCTGGATGCAGGAAAAGGCTTTGTCCACGTGAGCGTTGCTGTTAAAGAGGCCAAAGTCTGCCGTTGATCTCCGCTTTTGCATGACAAGACGGCTTGCAGGTTCAATGAAATAGTTTCCAACTCTAGCAAAACCGTAGAATAAGTCAAGGCTGAAGGAATGGCGTACATTCATGCCACTCGCATGCTTTCATACTGAGCATCCAAATCAACCTCGTGCAGAAACGGAATGATCTGGATACCAATTTTTATTTTCCATCACTTCAGCTCAGTGTGAGTTCTCACATCCCTGATTTTAATCCCTCAAGAAATAAACATTTTTTATATAGCTGCTTAAGGCAGCTGGGGAATTCCCTCTGAGTTGTCTTCACTGTGTCATGTCATCACACCTTTAAAATGCTGCAATTTCAGGGGAGCTAAAGAAAGAGCTATCTAAAGGATGTCTGATAATTAGATATCTAAAGGACATCTGAGAATTGTTTTTGTTTGTTTTGGCCAAATTTCCATCCTAAAGGTCAAAACTACAATGGGAGCAAGCAAGGGAGGCCTCTTGGAACAATATTTTCAGTAATTATGAGTGCTTTTGATGAAGATGTCTAGTTCTTTGAAGTAACAAGCAAGAATGTGACATTCAGATAAGAACTGGTTCAAATTGGCCAGAGACCAGAATTTCCCCCCAAAGCTGAAAACCTGAAAACTCATTCCAATATGAGAACCACACCTAGTGAATATGCAATTGGGCATTAACAAGATCAAACTAAGGTGGTGGGATAATATGAAATATTACATAGTACATTCTAGAGCTACTGAGCATGCTCACTAGATGACAGATGAGTCAATTGATGCTTACCAATGAAAGAACACATTTCAAACACAGTAAGTTTGAACTGCATATAAAGTGATTCCCAATCCTTATAAGGAGCTTCTCACCTTGTATCTATGGGATATGTTTATGCATAAATAAAGAAATATTAATCCTGCTTTCTCTTGCCGTTGTTTACAGATAACAAATATTTATGTACAACTAACTCCTGCTTTGATTTTTTTAGGAGCTTTCTTTCCACGGGCAGAATTGCAAAGTATACGCCTTTATCCATACACCGATGGTCTGCATATCTTTGTTGTTGCAGCAGAAATAATTTATTTCCTCTTTGTTATATACTACATGGTGGAGCAGGTAAGAAGAACTTTGCTGGGTTGAATAGGCAGCCTGCAAATTGTTTTATTACCAAACTGACCAGTTCTAGATTCTGGGTGTCTGGTCTATAGAGAGGAAAGCTAATGGGAATAAACTAATTTCCAAAAAAGTTATTAAAAAATTCAAGCAGAGATACAATGGCCATGAATTAATTAATGATACCTTGAGAGGAAAACAGACTGTAGCCAGTCTGATCTTAACTGGTATTTGCCAATTATAGGCAGAAAACAAGCCTGATGGATTGGCTAGTCAGATTTTTGCTAGTAAGCAAGAGATAAGATGTGCTTTTATGACAGCTGGTCACAGTCAGCGATGTCACTATGCAGGGCTTCTACAACGGCATCATAGCATACACATCTAAAGAAGATCTGAGCTAAGAATTTGAACTGATAAATAATCATGGATTCAGCTTCAGGGCTATCTGGCAAAGGAAGAATGTGATTTCCTGGTTGCCAGTTGTCACAAGCCATGCTTATATTCCCCATCTATCTTCTCATCCAGTCCCAATCCTTTAACTGTTTTGCAAAAACAGTATGATAATTGGTTCTGTTTGCAAAAGAATGAAGATGGATAATATCTAAATGTACTAAAAACCTCAGGTCTGTTTCAAAACAGCTTTTGAATTAATGTACTTCAAATGGGCCAACTTACTGAATGTGCCCAAAATCTGGGATTCATAACTCCCATGGAATTGAAATTTATGTTTGATTCAGTGCTGCTGAGGTCAGCTATGGTCATGTGGTCGTAATTTCTGACATTCCTTGCCAGCTTCCTACAAGGAAAGTCAGTGGGAAGGCCAGCAGGAAGTCAGACATTAGTCTTCCCCTCTCTGGGTTTTTTTTTTTTTTTGCCTGCAAGTTTGTCTGTTTAGTTAAAGAAATATCTCTGAAACAATTATTCAATTGGCCATGGGTTGCCTAGTGTATAAATAAAATTGACCAAAATATCCACACTTGCCTGTAATCATAAGTAAGACCACAGCTAGAATCCTGCATCCAGTTTTGGTCACCCACGCTACAAAAAAAGATGTTGAGACTCTAGAAAAAGTGCAGAGAAGAGCAACCAGGATGATGAGGAGACTGGAGGTTAAAATGTACGATGGACAGTTGCAGGAACTGGGCATGGCTAGTCTAGTCCAGGGGAGACATGATAGCAGTGTTCCAATATTTGAGGGGCTGCCACAGAGAGGAGGAAGGGGTCAAGCTATTTTCCAAGGCACCTGAAGGCCAGGCAAGGAATAATGGATGAAAACTGATCAAGGAGAGATTCAACCTGGAAATAAGGAGGAATTTTCTGACAGTGAGAACAATCAACCAGTGGAACAGAAGTTGCCTTCAGAAGTTGTGGGAGCTTCATAATCACTGGAAGCTTTCAAGAAGAGACTGGACTGCCATTTGTCAGAAACGGTGTAGGGTCTCCTGCTTGAGTGGGAGGTTGGACTAGATGACCTATAAGGTCCCTTCCAACTCTGTTAATTTATCTATTCATCTATCTATCTATCTATCTATCTATCTATCTATCTATCTATCTATC